GGCACCCTATTCCATGATCCCCGTGAAACCCCCTCTAGCTGAAGAAAGTGGGAAGCAGGTGACTGTAGAAGGAAGAGAGGGAAGACAAGCTAGATTTCCAGTATGTAAGCCCCTCCTCACAAAGACTGGGAATAATATGTTGGAGCACGCTTTCGTAGAATCACCTGCCTGCCCAATAGCTCTTCTGGGGTGAGATTTGTTAACAAAACTGCAAGCTGAAATTTTCTTCAGTGAGGATCAAATTGTGGTACGGCTGTCAATAAAGCAGGGCTCAAATTACCAAATGGCCCTTCGAACAGTCAAGATAGAACCCGAAACCAAAAGAATTGAGATTTTAGAGAATGTTGATACATGTGTGTGGGCAGATGGGACCCCTGCCCGGGCAAAACGTGTAGATCCAATCAAGATTATTCTGAAAGAAGGAGAGGGTCCTGTATGTGTAAAACAATATCCTCTGAAGAAGTCCACCCGGACTGGCTTGAAACCACTGATTGAAAAATTCAAGCGGTATGGGTGGTTGATAGAGGGATCATCCCCTTTTAACACCCCGATCCTGGGTGTGCCCAAAGCCGATGGCATCTCCTTCAGATTAGTACAAGACCTGAGGGCAATAAACAAAAAGGTCTTAGTGGATCATCCAATGGTGCCAAATCCTCACACCATTCTAACGCAAGTCCCGGCCGAAGCCAGCATATTTTCTGTGCTAGACTTAAAAGATGCTTTCTTCTCTATCCCGCTGCATGAGGAGAGTCAGAAATTGTTTGCCTTCGAATGGGAAGACCCGGACACATATCATAAGACTCAGTTGCTATGGACAGTGTTGCCCACTATGGAATTTCTGGCCTCCATCACAAATTCTAATCCAAAGATAGAAATGGGCTCCCCACTGCATGTCAAGTGGAGGGAAAAGCCTTGTATTAGATTCAAACAAATACAGTACCATCAGTAGTGTAGTACAAATACATTAGATTTTAGACACAAGGCTTAAATTTAAACAGGATGCTTTATTTTTGCAATACGCTGCTGTATTCAATTTGCCAATAGCTTCTGCATATAGGTTAAAGGCAGCTTTACACATAGAGTTTCACAATCGCACCTGTTCAATGACCTAGAATTACACAAAGATTACATGAAGATAAAGGACATTGAGCTTACCACAGCTTCCCCAACACGCAAGTGCCTTCATCTATCCCATAATAAGTTGAGCCTAACTTAAAAGGTCCTGACATCCTGTGGAAACTTAGACGTAACGGTAAAATTGTGAAACTGCCAGTAGTTATAAGACACGCTACAGTTCTTTGTTTAGGTAAGCTATAAAAAAGACCCTCAGACAAAGACTGGGGGTCAACTCTGCTTTAGGTTACTTAACCCCTTTGTCGACCGATTGTGCAATCAATAAACTTATAATGGACCCAGCCTGAGTGTGCGACTCCCTCCTTGAGGTATTTGGAGGGAGCCTCCAGGGGCACGAAACTAGCAATTTGTGCAACAGTAGTTGTTAGTGCACTTTTCTTCCTGCTCTTTGACAGAGGACAACAGAATAGTTTTCCCCAATTCAAGCCTAGGTTTTGAATCACTTGTTAGTTCCTCAATTTCTGTGCTAGATGCAGCTCTTTCCCACCGTGATGGGAGAAGACTGGTCAGCAGTGGTCACCACAGTACTGCTACACTCTTTGGAAAACCAACTGGCAGATGGAGAGGACTGTTTACACTTTTCTTCTGATGCTGCTGAATGCGTTTTTAATTGTTGTTTAGTCAGAGTATGTAGCCCTAGAGAACTGCTTGCAGAAAAAAGTAGGCGACACTGGGATTACTCCTTGCAAGCACATTAAGCACACAGCAAGTATTTTCAAAAGCTCCTTGAGAGGTAATGAAGACCAGAGCAGAGAGTTCCCAGAAAGTACCCTCATAAATAGCAGCTGCTGCATCACCAAGTGTTAAGGCAGCTGTCAAGGACAGAACCATGCAAGAACCTTTGATGATAAAGCAACTCATTTCTGAAGAACTGCTACTGGGTCTCTTCCTGCCTGCAGCAGCTGTGGAGCTAATGCAATGGATCCAGCTCCTGGCCCCCAGTGTACAGCTTCTACACAGCAGAGGCACCTTCCTGCCCTTGCAGGGACTGCAGCAGCCAGGGGTGGGGAGTGGCAGCTTTAATGCATGCTGCACAGAGGGCTCCCACTCCTCTGCAGTCTGGAGCTATGCTGGGTTGGGAGAAGCCAGTTCCCTGGGCAGGAGGAGAGAAGAGGAGACCAGAGACCCTACTCTGGATGAGCCCCTCCCTTCCCCATTAGGTGGGAGGGAAGCCACCTGGCCAGGTAGGATGGGAGCCTGTTTGAAGAGCAGCAGCTGCTGGAGCCACTCGAGCTAGGAAAGACTAGAAGCAGCCAAAGCTGTTTTTTCAATGCAGTGTTTATTCAAGTGGCTGCAGCAATTCTGCCAAGTACAAGAGCCAATACAAGCATACCTCTTTTCCCTGCAACCTGGGTGGCACACACTGGAAAACAGGCTGCAAACACCAGATTAGATCAACACAAAGCCAACAGCAGTCACACCAGAAGGCATGTTCTTTAGGACTGGAGAAGCTTTGAATTAGTAACACACCAACAGGCCAACCAAGTTGAGGGGAAGGGAAAGAAAGCCTGTTCTGGGGAACCCAGGCAAGCTAGCAGGTTATTGGGGTAAGGATCTGCACAATCAGACAGACAGAGGCCCACCCCACCTTCACTGTCTGAATGAAGACAAAAGAAATCCCTCAACAAAAACTGGGTTCTCCTTCCATAGGAATTGCCCATAGTGGGGAGGGTTCACCACTTCAGAGCTCCACCTTGCCTTCCCATGCAGGTTCCTCCACTTTCCCCTCTGCAATAGGCTCCTCCACCTGCTCTGCAGGGGCTGCAGCAGGAGCAAAGGGCCCCACAACCCAGGTAAGAGGGATGTTCCTAGCCACATACTCCAGCAGATCATCCAGGCACTCCCGGGCCTTGGCCACTTTCTCTCGGCTCTGGCTCAGCAGCCCCTCAGACAGCTCCTGGAAGGACAGGGCGCTGGAGAAGGCAGCCTGGAGCTCCCCCAGGTGCCGGCAGCCCTGCTGGACCTGCTCCTGCACACTGGTTGGCAGCCCCTGGATGCTGGGCACCAGGCTCTGGCAGGCATCATGCACATGCTGGAGGAGGGTCTGGGCAGTAGACAGAGCCTGGGAGCCCATTTCCTGCAGGGAGACAGAGCAGGGAGTGAAAGGAGGCTCCCTAGGGGCAAGAC